GTGGCTCACACCTATAATCCCAGCACTTTGGGAGGCTGAGGTGGGTGGATCACGAGGTCAAGAGATCGAGACCATCCTGGTCAACATGGTGAAACCCCGTCTCTACTAAAAATACAAAAAAGTAGCTGGGCATGGTGGCGCACACCTGTAGTCCCAACTACTCAGGAGGCTGAGAAAGGAGAATTGTTTGAACTCAGGAGGCGGAGGTTGCGGTGAGCCGAGATCGCGCCTCCAGTCTGGGTAACAAGAGCGAAACTCCGTCTCAAAAAAGAAAGAAAGAAAGAAAGTAAAACTCAGCTGCTGCGCAGTGCTCACCTGTCCTGGACTCAGAGGGTAGAAGTCAGTGCCCTCTTGTGGTGGAGGGAGGAAGGAAGGAAGACATGTGAAAGTGAATTTTATCCTTTTATGAAAAGCATGAATACTAGCCCGAGAACTTCTTATAATGACACGTCCAAGTACCTTTTGGTAATTAAAAAACAACAACAACAGGTTTTGCCAACAGCAAAACGGGGAAGGCAAGGATGTTCATTGACAGTCACCTACAATGACAGGAATTTAACTCGGTCTCATGGGGACATCAAAAGCCTCTCTAAGTAGAGTCAGTGTAGCCTTCCAAGTGTGTACCCCCAAACCTCACCTGTAGCCCAACCTGAAGCGTCACAAACAAGTCAATGCTTTTACAGCAAACATCCCTTAGTTTACTGAGAAAAAAAAAAAAAAAAAAAAAAAAAAACAAAGTCTGGCGCAAGAGCACTTAAGCTTAAAGTGGTGCAGGTTGATGAAACCTTTGTAAATCTGATGAAATCTACAGACTCCTTCCAGAAAGAAAAAGGTCACATATACATACACGAAACAATATTTTCCTTACAGTTAGAGACCCGAATTCCTGCCTGACAGAAGAAGGATTTTCCTGCCCTTGAGACCCTCCAGCACTGGGGCTTAATCCACTTTTTTGACTCATATTCAACTACTCCCTCCCTGAGCCAACCGCATGCATTCATTGGCTCCCTACCTGACCCTTTCTCCCACTCTCTTCTGTGCCGAAGGCCTTCCCTCCTCCCTCCCTCCCTCCGTCCCTCCCTCCCTCCCTGGCTGGCTCAGCTTCCCTGAAGTCCTAGCTTTCTCCTGGAACCCCCACCGCAGCACACTCCAGCCAGTCGCTCCTGCCTCTGCCTGGGTCTTACTGGTCACGGCATGCTGGCATTCAGGAAATAGTTAAAGCTCCTTCTTCCTTGAATGACCAGATGAATTAAAATGAATGATAGCAAGCAACTAACTGTCATTAAACAGTTAATGGAAGAACGTTCATCTATGTTACCTTTGGGGATGCTTTTAAATGAGAGGCTTAGAGAGCAAAAGCCCAGAGGATGCAAGGTGGGGGCAGGTGCAAAGCGTCCCTTTTGGGTAGAGAGGATGCTCAGGGTCCTTCAGATCCCATCGAGGAGCAGGGCCTGCTGCCTGGGGTTCCTTCCAGCAGGCAGCTCACGATGTCCGTCAAGTCTGTAGGAGCAAAGAAAGAATCGTTATTTCTAACTGACTCCTCCTGTGGGAGCCAATCCTCAGATAATGGAGAAACCCTGAGGGGTCCCTCCATCTGGGCTGCTATTTCTTGGCAAGATTAACCTGGACCATTCTGGAAAGAATGCTGTTTACCCTTGCACCAAAAAGACAGAAAGAAAGGTGCACCATCCTCCCTGCAAAGTCCTCTTGGGCTGACCACGCTGGGGTCTGTTCCTTGCTCCGTCTCCCCGGCACTTAGGCCTGTGTGAAGGTGGAAGAACCTTATGATTTAGTTGTGAGAGCCGAGCAGGGGCTGGCAGCGCCTAACATCCTGCTCAGGGTCCGGCTGTGAGGTGGCCGCGGCCAGGTCCTGTTTGCTGATGTCCACTCTCCTACTGTGTATAGTCTTAGCATCCCTAGTCAAAGCCTGCTGGTCCGGCTCGGGTGCAGTCAGCCAGCTTTGAGCCCGCTGGGTGTGCTGGGTCCCTCTCTGGAAGACCGAATTCTCAGCCCCTACTTGAACCAGGAGAGTTGCAGGCATTAGTGAATCATTAAGGGCAAGTGTCCCTTATTACCAAAAACAAGGCTGGGCCCTTCGCAAGGAGTGACAGCTGGTGTCATACACAGATTTCATAGGAGAGGAATTTCTTAGGGTTCAAGTGATCTTCAACCCCGCAGAGATAGGGGTGGGGAGGAGAGAGGAAAGAGGGACCCAGGACTGGCTCCCGAAATCTATTCTACACCTCCCAGCCCTCCCAGGCCCTAGATATGGCTCTCACGCCCCCTCCCCACGTCCCTTAGACCTTTGCTGTTCCCTTCCCCACCGCACTTTGGGCTGGACCGCCTGTCACTCAGCCCCACTGGGTCCTGCGGTGGCTTGTGGCTGGGGAGGGCAGCTTGGAAGAAAACAGCTTCCTTGGCTGAATCTTTTAGAAAGTCTAGTGCCTTCGTACCAAAAAGATTGGCGTCTTCCTAGAGACTTGGCCCCAGGCAAAGGCAGACAACCCTGCCCAGAGCACAGGAAAGCCAGCGTCCCACCGCCTGGAAGGCCCGTGCAGAGCAGAGGTGGTACAGGACTGGCTGGAGCTAACTTAATCAGCTCCACGCTCCTTCACACTTCTCCACGCCCCTCCACGCTCCTCACACCCTTCCACACCCCTCCACGCCCCCATGCCCCTTCCACACCCCTCCATGCCCCTCCATGCCCCCCCATGCCCCTCCACACCCCCCCACGCCCCTCCATACCTCTTCATGCCGTTTCTGGTGCTGCCTCCCAGGTGCAGAGACCAAAGCACGGGGTCCAGAGCAGCAGCCGGACAGACCCCACCTGGCCCCACTGGCTGCAGGTCTGGATAAAGGTCTCAGGTGGGATGGGTCCCCTGGGCTAAGCACTGCCCACCGTGATCGCAGCTGAGCCCAGGAAATATCACGGTGGCCTCCAAGTGTCCGGGGGCTGTGCCACTTAACAGTGTGTTCCACACAGGAGGGAGTGAGACCACTTGGCCAATAGAACCTTCCTCCCCTGGGTTCCACAGTGTCCCGAGGGTGTCATGTGTGCCTTTAAATACTGGGACGACCTGTGCGTGCAGGTGCCAGTGCTCAAGACTACTGCGTCTGTAGCTCTGAGGTCAGGTTCAGCTTCACCACACATGCTCTCCACCCCAAAGGAGTCAACAGCCCCTCTGGGCCTCAGTTTCCCCCCCTACACAGTAAGCATAAAAATACTTGCCTGGCTTCTTAGGGTCCTTGTGAGGCATGAGGAACTGGAGCGCCCAGGCACTAGAGTCCTCACGGAAAGCCCTGCAGGGCTCAGCCAGCTGAGAATCCCAGCACACGCTGGGAGTCAGCACTGGGGCTTGACGAGGCCCCAGGCTGCCTGCTCTCCGTCCCTATGGTTTCCTGTACACAGCCAGAGCCACCAGAAGCAGCCTGGGGCCCAGGAGAACCACGAAGCCCCGCCAGCCTGGCTTTGCTTCTCGCCACGTCACAGCAGTTTGTGGGTGCTGCCAGTCTGTGTCCTGCCCGTGCCACCACACTGGCTAAGGAAAGGCTTGCAAATGAGACATGAACCCCACAATTAAGCTTGCTGAAATTGTGACCCAAAATAAAGGAATTACTTAAAGTCTTTTGCCAACATCAACTGGGCCGGAAGTGGGATTGGACGCCCCATCTGGGAGCTCAGCCTCCTCCTCAGAGCGCATCCTTAGCTCCCTGGCATCCTGTGTTGGAGGCAATAAAGTCCGATGCAGGGAAGACCTCAGAAGCTTGGGTGGGCCCCATTGTGTCTCTGCTCCTTTTGGCCCGCAGTGCCCTGTGGATTGGTGGGGAGGCTGAGCTGTCCCGGGTCAGGAGGCACAACCTCCTTACCACTTTGACCGTGTCCCCGCAAGTTAACCAACGACACAGAACAATCCAGATGTTTGCTGCGTGTAGTGGCAGGAGGAGCCCTTTGCTCCTAGATGCTTTCCAAAAGAGAGACGAGTCACATGGTCTGGGACAGGGTGTGATGCTGGGGAAACGGGAGATTTGGGTTCAAATGGCTCTGGCCAGATCGTCTTTACTTAGGGAGGTGTGAGCATGTGTGAGGACTGCTATTCTCACTGGTAAAATGGAGAGGAAGGCGTAAGGGGTGAGAGAGAGGGCTGCCCAGGAGCCTTGCTCTAGATCGGAGGTCCTCAACCTGGGCCTGGGGTGGGACCCAGGCACACACAGTGATTCCGGCGCAGCACAGCTAAGGACCGGGCAGTGGTGGGTCCTTGGAGTCACACGGCAGTCCCTCCTGTTAGATCTTGCTCCAATCTGGCCTCCCAGGGAGCCTGGCTACACCAGCCTGCAGTCCCAACTGGCTGGCACTCACCAAATCCTGCTCTGTTTTCCTTTTCCATAATGCTCCACATCCTTTAAAAGGTTCTGTCGGGAGCCGCGGTGGCTTTGGCCAGTTGTCCTGGCACTTGAGGAGGCGAGGCTATGCGTTGAAGGCCAACCTGGGCAAAATAATAACCTTTCATTCATTAAAAAAAAAAAAAAAGAGGTTCTGTCGAGGCCGGGAGCAGTGGCTCACACCTATAATCCTAGCACTTTGGGAGGCCAGGGCAGGTGGATCCCCTGAGGTCAGAAGTTCGAGACCAGCCTGGTGAACATGGTGAAACCCCGTCTCTACTAAAAATAAAAAATTAGCCAGGCATGTTGGCACACGCCTGTAACCCCAGGTACTCAGGAGGCTGAGGCAGAAGAATTGCTTGAACCCGGGAAGTGGAGGTTGCAGTGAGCAGAGATCATGCCACTGCATTTCACCTTAGGGGACAGAGCAAGACTGCCTCAAAAAAAAAAAAAATTCTGTGACCCTTTTTGTGATTATGGTGCGCTCTCCTCCCACTGGAACGTAAGCTCCATGAAGGCAGGGAACTCTGTGTTGGTGACTTACCCAGAAGTTTCCTTCCTCTAACAAGCCCTGGTAAATACTGGCTGAAAGCTGGAAATGTGGAATCAGCAAGCCCCTTTTCCATTCCTGTCTCCATCACTTTATGGCGCTACAGTCTCGATGACTTTGCTTATTGTTCTCTCCAATTCCTCTGGACCAGCAAAGACCTCGTCTGTCTTATTTAGGGCAGTGTCCATAGTGCCTGGAACACTGTCCACTCCAAACTCAGACGGCGTTTGTTGAAGGAATACGCTATTGTGTGCAGGGGGCGGAGGCTCATAAGGTGTCCTCTGCTGCCCTCTGCTGAGCAGTCATGGGAAAGGCTTCATCTCAAATTAGGTGGACAAACTGAAAAGGGAGAGGGTGAAAATTTGGTTTGGGAGACAGAAGAGCAGGTTGTTAATTAATTATTTTTGATTTTAATACTGTTAAAATCAGACAAAGCTGCCTATACCTTCCCACTCTCCTTGGCCCTTCTTCATTCCATCCATGCCAGGACAACAATCCTGGATTTTTTTTTTATCATTAAGCAATTTTTAATTGATGACTAATAGAAGTACATAGTTTCAGGGCATCCTGGATTTTGAAGTATTCCATCCTGTTAACTCCATGGATACACTTATTCTCGCAGGCGCTGGGTCTCCGTTTTGGGCTTGGACTCCCCTCTTGGTCTCTCGACGTTTTGCTTCACTAGATGGTGAGAGTGAACAGAGCCACTGCCAGCATCGGGCCTCACTCAGGCCGCATAAGGTCAGACTGCTGCTAAGGGCTGGGGAAACTTGCGGGGGAGCCACTTGGAGGACATCTCTCCATCTTTTTCTAGTTCCCGGGACTAGGGAGAGAGTGAGAGGGGAGCAGAGAGGGTGAATCTGCCACAGCCTAACTGGGAAAGGCTTGGCACAGAAAAACCCCGTGGCCAGTTACTTTTGGCTTCTTCAGGAAGCCTCCTCCCTCCAGACTGGTTACTGTTTCTTTATGCAGATTTCTTTTTTAATTTTTAATTTTTAGAGGCAGGGTCTCACTGTGTCTTATCCGGGCAGGAGTGCAGTGTTGTGACCATAGCTCACTGCAGCCTTGACCACCCAGGCTAGAGTGATCCTCTTGCTCCAGCCTCCCCAGTAATTGGAGCCAGAATTATTTTGTATGTATAAACTTCACATTCTCTTGCCTTGTACTGTCATGGTGGTTGAACTACGGCAGAATTTTCAGGCTCATATCTATTGGCCCAAGATCCTCCCAATGACAAATCCCTGAGCTTTTTGGCCCTAAATCAGCTGGTGTCACATGGGTCTGTTCCCAAAAATGAGTCTATTCATTTTGTAGAATAACATCCACAGTTGACCTCTCTCTGGTCATGTCAGTCTCCCATAGCAATTTCTTTAAAAATATTCTGTCCCAGTGACAGAACACAATTCATGTATCCCCATTTGTGGTTGAGAAAATATGGCCATAATTCCTTGATTAAGTTTTACATACTATTATTATTCTGGCCACATGAGATACTGTGTTTGTGTCTCTCCCACTATTTGACAGCCCTTGATGGCAAAGACTGTCCTTGCTTACCCCTTTAGTGTTTGGCATAGTGCCTACTGATTTAGAGGAGCTCAATGAAAGTTTTTTAAATGAATGACTTAGTCCACTTGCCCTGTACTGTTCTTCTGCTCAAATTAGAACACAGCTGTTTTTCTGTGTTCCTGTGTGTGTCCCCAAAGGCCCACACCACTGGGAGATGTTTTTTTGTTTGTTTGTTTGTTTTAAACAGATAGGGTCTTGTTCTGTCA